GTTTGTGTGATTCGTGTGGGTTTATCAATATGATTAGTCATACCAAACTCGTTGAATAAATTTATTATTTCAACTGTTTCTCTGCTATGTTTTAGAAAATCTACATTAATATCGCCGCATACGATATAATAATATTCCTTACGATAAATGTTGTTCATCAAATCATACACTGCATCTATAAAAATGTTACTATCACTGTTTGGTGTTCTATATGCAGTTATGATAAATAGTTCAGATTGACCATTCAAAACATCTAACACAGCAATACTAATTTCAAAATGTTTCTCTATACAATTATCGTACTTCATAAATTTGGCTGGAATATTATTTTTAGTATAAATACAAGTACCTCCATGGTCAGAGTCTTTGCGACAAAAACTACTTATCAGTTTGTAACCAGGAAAAGCTGCGTTTGTGAAATGTGAAATGTATACAAACAAATGCAAAATATAAAAGCAAACAGTGAATGATTTGGAAAAAAGACAAAAAAGAGATTTCAAATGAAGCTCCTTTTCGATTGGTTAAACGATTGTCTTGTGGAACTTCAGTAGTCTAGAAGACGTAAATACAAAAATATAATTAGGATATTCCGACTTGAACTCTTGACGAGTATCAAAAAAACACATTTTATTTTAACCTGACCTCATTCACAATCCACACTATTTCATTATCACATCATTATTCACAATGTATATACAACATTTCATAAAATCGGTTCAGCCATTTTGGAGGAGTTTGGTGACAAACACTGTGACACGTGAATTTTATATATTAGATAATCGATATGTTCTTTCTGCCCTTTCGTATAACTGTAACGATGATTGCGAAATGTTTTTGAAATAGAAAATGAGGTGCAAATTCAAACGAGATTCCTATTGCTAGGATTTAATGAAATAAGCAAATGAATGTTATTTACGTACTGTCATTGATGACATGGGTGGATTCAACCCATTCCGTGACAAAAAAGTAGTAAGTTTATGAAGGAATCGAGTAATAAAAATCCGTAATTGCTATTGAAAAACCGATGAGGCAAGTGTCAATGTGAGTGAAATTTTACTTCTTTCATTAATTATGACCTGTAGGAATCCTGTGAATGATACCTGATTGGATTCTACGAATGTTAGGAGTACAAATGGGATAGAGAAAAGTGTTTTTGTTATAATTCAGCGTTCATATAAAAGTATTTGTTTCGAAAGTATTTTTCTCGAGAGAATTTATCTAGTTGAAGCTGGGATCATTTTTCAACCGTGTTAGGAACCACACGTTAAAAGGTAAGACCTTTGTTTAGAGTTAATTTTTGAAATTGATCGCTTCCTCCTTTCTTTGGAAGATTCCCAAATTTTTTTTATCAATATGGAGAAGTAGAAAGCAATGAATGAACTGTGTAAATCAAGTAAGAGCATCGATATCAATATTTTCCAATATATTATTAAACAGAAAGACCTGCAAGAAAAAATTAAACTACTGAATAAACATATTGATATCCTTAATGAGTGGAAACAGATGTCGGAACCGAATAGCGAGATGGCAACTACGTCAAAAAGCAAACAAAAAACCTATACAAACAAAAACCAATATCTCCACAGAAAAGAGTACGCTGCAACAAAAACCCAATGTTGAAGGGAACTTCTACCTAAATAATGGTGAATCATCCAAAATCAAAGAAGTCAGTCATTCAGAAGGGACAAGCCCTCGTAAGCAAGCGAAAAGTGTACCTACTATGAATAAATACATCCACATCCAAGATACTGAAAACACCGAACTCACAAAAGAAAATGAAAATGATCGGTGGAATAAAGTCACCAGAAAAAGAAGATCTGTTATCATAGGAAAAAATGTTGGAAGTGAGGTGAAAGGCGTTCCCAAAATAGCAAATCTTCATGTCAGTAGAGTGAACCCAAAGACTACTATAGAAAACATGCAAAAATTGCTGGAAACACACTTTCCAGAAGTCAAATGTGAATCTTTGAACCCTAAGTATTCCAGCAGTTATTCATCATTCAAAATCAGCATTTTTGAGGATAACTTTCGAAAAGCCATGGATCCTGATGTTTGGCCCTATGGAGCGGGCATTAGTCGATATTTTCAGAGAAAGGAGCGGGAACAAATGATACGGTAACGTTTAAACCTGATCTACTGCTGAATAATATAAACACTATAAATAATCACAAAATCAGTAATTTACTGACTGATATTATTGAACTTGAAAATATAAAATTTCTTTAGTCCGAACTGATGAAATATACCACGAAACATTGTCAACCACCTTCAAACAAACGAATGAGTTATACGAAAATTATTGCAAACTATTAATAGTTTGCAATAATTTTCAAATAAAATATTATCTAAGAGTAAATAATTGTTCAAATCTCTTAAGAGCAGACTCAAAAATGAATTGAAGATATCGCCTAACAAGTAAGTTGCTGATAGTACTGTTCGTCAGTATACTGTAAGGAGAATATATTGTAGGTCCCTTATTTACCGATGGTAACTTGAATGCTGTCAAATTCCTACAGCTACTACAAAATCAAAATTCCAAAATTTCATCTATTTCCTATCAATTTTGGGGACATTTTCAACAGTATGGTTTATCAAGTCACAATGCACGTCCAGAGATACAATTTCTGCTCTAAATACCTTTTCTGGTAGATTGGTATTTACATGTGATATGATAAAGTAACCTCCCAGATCACCAGACTTATTTCCGAGTGATTTCTTTCTTTGGCAGTATCAAAAACAATGTGCCTATTGTATTTCATTTTCATGAGAAATTGTTTGATACAGTTATCACAGCAAATAATTTCTCGCAGACATTGGAGCTTTGGCGTTGCAAAGTCTCTTCCTTAGTCAGACATACAAAAATACCCTCTATCATTTTTATACTGATGAATCAGTTGCCGTGCTCAGTGCAGTCTAGCAAACAAACGCACATTACAGTGGTTCTATCGATTAGTTGATATTGCGTCGCGAACAAATATCTATTTCCATTCCATATCTGTAAATATGAACGATAAAAATTTCACACATGCTCACACACACACACACGAGCGCGCAATCACACACACGAGGCAATAAACCATCGATAAGTGTGCGACATCGAAAAAAATTACTCGTCGTGGCACGGCTGCAAAAGTCGAAATATGATAGCAAAAATTCCAATCGGAATATTACAGCAAAACAGTTACACAGCTTTCTGCAAGGACGTTCCCTGCAAGTGGTCGTTGATAGATATCTCTCGAATTCTTTTACTATCAACGCTGGTGTTCCCCAGGGATCCATATTGTCTCTAACCCTCTTTTTATTCTATATGAACGACTTATTGGAAAAAAATAAGAATCCAATATATTGTTTTGCTGACGACAGCATACTTGTCTTGTCATTCCATTTGATTTCCAGGACATCGGCTGTAGATGCACATCTTCACCGGTAGTAGGAGGTTGCATATCTTAATGAGGATCTAGAAGTGATTTCGAATTGGGGTGAAACTAACTAGGTTCAATTCAATACCACAAAAACCTAGGCATCGATTTTCTCCAAAAAGATAAATGTCTCTGAACGAGATATAATAATGACAGGATAGACAATTCCGCTTTCTGTTTCGATAAGTTTGTTGTGGGTTAAAATGGTCATCAATATGTCTTGGCACAATCATGTCGCTGGAATTGCAAAGGCTGCTTCTCAAAAGCTTGAAACAGTATTCCGAACCAGAAAACTGTCCACATCTGATTAACTTTTCATGCTTTATGAAGCTTAGATCAGATGTTCTTTGGAGTATTGTTCTCATGTTTAGGGCTCGGCCCCTAGGTAAACCCTGAAGTTTCTGGATTCGATCTAGAAAAGAGTTAACCGCCTGATTGGAAACACGAACATCACTTGCAACCTTGATAGTCTGGAATATTGAAGAAAGGTTGGAGATTTGTCTCGCTTCTATAGATATTTTCACGGGAAGTGCGTTACATATCAAAAATACGCGACGGACTGTGGCTGCTCATCGTTTTGAGGTTCAACTCAGTACACCCCGAACTTCACTTTTTGTAACTCTTTCATTTGGAGAACTGCGTTTATGTGGAATAAACTTCCTGAGAACGTTTTTCCAAATGGATTTAATCTCCAGCGATTCAAATCCAATGTGAATCGCTACTTTCGCATAGGCACCGATCGCAGAGCGTCTTAAGGATTTTTCTGCAGTGCTTGTGTTTTGTCTTAAAAAAAAACATATAAATCAGATTATTTCGATAGCGATTCAACACAAGCGCTGAAGTTAAGTGCAATAGTTGTAAGGTAATTGAAGTATAACGTTCTGATTTATACTTTTAGTAAATATATAAAGTTTTCAAATTTGATTAACTGCACCTCTTATATCCGAACCCACACATATGTAACAATATATTCCTAATTTTGCATCAATGAAGATCATATAGAGTAAATAATCCATTCTTAAGACTCAACGTTCATTTTAGAAAACTACATTTTCCAATTTAATTTTCAGCCATGTGGATAGTGTAGATGAAGGAAGCAAACTGATGACAGGCGGCTATTACTGCCCTCAATGTTTCAGTAAATACTGCGAACTTCCTGTTGAATGTCGAGCTTGTGGTTTGACACTAGTCTCTGCTCCACATTTAGCGCGGTCCTACCATCATTTGTTTCCTGCTTCCAGTTATAAAGAAATTGGTTTAGAGAACCAAAGTACATGTTGTTTTGCTTGCCAGAAAGTATTTGGAGAAGTTGACAAACAGGTATTTTAAAAGTACATAAAAATATATATTAAAATGATGAAAAATGAGAATTGAAGTACTAACGTTACTGCAGTTTCGTCCTAAAAGGATATTTTTAAACGAGTTCATTGTATTTGTTTGAAAATATCTTTGTAGGACGAAACTGCAGTAGTTAGTTACGAATAAATGTGGTATAAAAACATAGGAAGTTTCAATTCTCATTTTTCGTGTTGATCTCCTACCACATAGTACCGGTTACATTCATTGATGAAAAATGAGAATTGAAGTACTAACGTTACTGCAGTTTCGTCCTACAAGGATATTTTTAAACGAGTTCATTGTATTTGTTTGAAAATATCTTTGTAGGACGAAACTGCAGTAGTCAGTTACGAATAAATGTGGTATAAAAACATAGGAAGTTTAAATTCTCATTTTTCATGTTGATCTCCTACCACATAGTACCGGCTACATCCATAAATCTATTTTAATAGATAAACTGTTAGAATTGCTGTTACATGCAGTCTAAAATTTAATGAACATTGAACTTAAAAGAGTTGACTAGTTTATAAATCACAGAGTATAAACTTTTAATGACGAAGTAAACTTTGTCAAATTCATTTTTTTGGATATGTTGGCTTAGTCTGCAGGTTTTTATGCCTTGTGTTTGGTCTACTTCTGCAGTAGACATTATCAGTGGTGATGAGACAGCAGATCAAGTCTTCTGATTGTCCTCAAAGCAGATAACTACAGAATTGGTTTGCGTCCCCGAATGTATTCTTTTGGTGGTGTGCGTGATTTCGTTTCTATTAGTTGAATTGAATGACGTGATACGAGAGAAATTATAATTTTTTTATTAATGTTGATTCTCTCTTCCTTTCGGTTGAAATTATTTCTGTGCTTCTTAATTTCTATCTCCTCCTTAATTCATCTTGCTTAATAACTCTCAGTTCTATGAAGGACTTGGGTTTCTTCAAACGTGATGAAGTTGGTAGCCCCATTAAGTGCATGTTCCGATATTGCTCATTTATTGACATGCCCCCGACAATCTCTTCTGTTTTCAGACAGCCTGGTACGTACACTTCTTTCTGTGGTTCTAATATAGGTCAATCCATAACTACAAAGGATCCGGTAAATGTCGGTCATCTGGTCTTTAGCTGACCTTAGACTCTAGTGGTTTTTGTTGGACTGAATATTGATTTAAAGTTGTGTTTCTCTAGAACTCATCCGGTCCATCAGTAATATTCTTCACATACGGTAGGAAACCTTTTCTATTGACAGGCATATTCGGAGTAACCTTTGCAATCTCTTTTCTGAGTCACATTGCCTGCTCAAAATCAGCTTCGATATACCCACTTCCTTTGAAAGCGTTCCTCGGGAAAACTTTCATGTTCACACATGCGTCATACTCTCTCCTCTAAGGTTTCAATTATCTCCTTTTTTCTATTGTGACTGGTATGTGGAGTTCTTATTCAGATACTTGTTAGTATGCATTGGTTTACTGTACACTTTATGAGTCAATGTCCTATCTTCATTTACATTCATCAGTACAACCTAGAATTCGATGATATTTTTTAATTGAAGGAGTTCAGATATACAAGAAAATCGTTCAGTTGCTTTTCAGCGTGCTTACCATACCAAGAAACGTGTTACCAACGTAATGCAACCAAAATTTGGAAACCCAAACCAAAGCTGTATTATTGCTATGAGGACAACCAGAACACTATTTTTGTTGTCTCATCGCCTTTGATACTGTCTTGCCAGTCAGAGACGATACGCCAGGCATAAAAACCTGCAGATCATAACCAACAAATTCGAAAAATAGGTCTGACATGGTTTATATTTATCTAACAATTGATCAACAGTCTACACCCTTTATTCGATATTATAAGCAATTTTACCGTATATTTAGCAATAATTTTAGGCAATAACTTTTCATCCTGCTTTTTATTGATGGAATAATCCATTGATTTATTTGAAATTTATCATTTACAGAATATCAATAATCTTTTTTTTATTTTTCAGGTATATGAATGTCCGAACTGCAAAAAAGTATTTTGTTTGGATTGTGATATATTCATTCATGATACCCTGCATACATGTCCCGGTTGTGCAACTAACCTCTCCACTTTTCAAATCAACCATTCAAATTGATTAACGTGACACTGTATGATTACTGAATAAATCTGCCATTTAAAAACTCTTTTCTTGAAACAAAATATTTGTATTAGTATTATGAACATTATGAATATATGAAATTGCACCATTTATTATGGTTTTTGATATTCGTATATTTCATTTCATTCAGTCTAAATATTCGTTTCGATATTTTTATCGATTTTATTTCTTTCATTTGTGCTACTTGAAAAGAATCTATAATGGAAATTCTATTTGGCCTATATTTGGCCATATAGAGAATAGGATCACTAGTAATAAGATTTCTGTCAAAAAATTAATACAAATAAAATGAAAATATCTTGAGTTGTGAAACAGCTTTAGCTGATACTTCGCCCATTCTTCAATTAATGTAATGTAAATACAAATAAGATATCCTCTACAGATACAGATAATTTATTCATCGTTGAAGTTTTTTACACAATGGTACAAAACTTATCAGGCTAGTCAAAACATATATTATTAAAACTCATAAAACATTATATTACTCATAAGAGAATAAGAAAAACTCACAGACAATNTTTACATATAAGTAATACGCTTACTTATATGTAAATAAATTTTCAAAAGAGCAACTAATTTTTGGGAAAGAAAGATTTTGGCTTTCTACTTCAACATCTTTATATAAAAAATGTAGGAATCTTCCAAAGAAACTAAGAAAGCAATTAATTTTATTTTAAAATGTATATCATGTACATTGATATGATGTATGATAATATGAACACGCAATTATTTTATCGAAATAGGTGTTCAGTTCGGGCAACTTCCGCGCACTTTGCTTAGTTTACTATCACCATAATCATCCTACCGAGAGGACTATTCGCAATGTTGTGGATAAATTTGGGTCCAGTAAATGACCGACCAACACCTCTACGTCGACGAAACGCAAGATCTGCCAAAAACATCGCCGCTAGCTGTGAGGGTGCGCAGGAGAATCCGAGGCAGTCGATTTTGCATCGCTCACAAGAACTCGGCCTTTCGCAGACCACAACTTGGCGAATTTTGCGTCGTGACTTGAGCCTGCACCTGTTCAAAATTCAACTGACCCAGGAACGGAAGGTAAACGACCATAGACAACGTGTGTTCACTGAATGGGCTCTGAAGTAGTTGGTAACTGACCCTTAATTTTGATCGAAAAATCACCTTCGACAATCGTCGAATTTTGGACGAAACCAATTCACATGAAATCCAAGAGCGTCCAATGCATTTCGAAAAAGCACTGTATGGATTTTGGGCTGACGGCGTCATCGGTCCATATTTCTTTGGGAACGACGTCCATCACTGTCGATGGCGAGCACAATTGGTCAATGATTACCAACTTCTTTTGGTCTGAATTGGATGATCTGGAAATCAACTTCTTCTATAATTACACAATTTTAATAAGATTCCTATGGTTGAGATCAAATCAAATAAGCTAATAAATATTCTTATGTACTGTCATGAGTAGATGTAACTCATTCGTGAATGTATTACGTGCTTCATTTAGTGTTATCCAGATTGGTGCTGAAGAGGTAATAAGGCAAGTGTCTTATTCTGAAACATCGTAAGTGAAGTTTTACCTCCTTCTTATACTATACAGTGTAGCAATCTTGTGAATGGTATCTGATTCAATTCTATAATGAATATTCGTAGTACAAACTGAATAGGAAAAAGTAATACATTAGTGGGCACTGGAGGGTTCTCGTTTTCAACCAAATATATCATCTGATACTCCAGCATACATCTTCCGTGCTATATGCTTTGACTACATGGATGAAGGTACCATCTCAAAGTCTCAACAACTACTGATAAATATTTTTGAATATGTTTCACCTACATTGTAAATTCTGATGACCACCTCACAAGAAAATTAAACCATTTCAAAACTTTTCAAATAAGTAAGGTCAGTAAAAATTCACTGTTTTGCTGAAATAACAATTTATAATAATTTGCCTGTATACATAAAGAATAATTAAATATATGAGATAAATACAGGCTACAATTTATATAAACGATTTATTTGTGATTACAAATTTACTACTTTTTCTTCAAAGCCTTTATCCTTGCATCAAGACTAACAACAGTAGAATTAATTTCATTCAGACTCATTGCAAAACTTTCTTGAACTCCCTGGAGAAGCATTTTATTGTTCTGGACATTTCCACTCATCTCTGCTTGAGTAACTTCAATTTGAGTCAGAGTTTTGGTTAAATCCATTGCTGCAAAATAATTGGAAATCGAGATATAGTAACATTATTGTGGACTCAAATTTTATGTTATCATGTGAGAAAAACATAGCCCATAAATGAGATGAAATATATATTTTAGACCGTTTTTGAAAGAAAAATATTGTTGCAAAAGAGGCAAGTGGGCAGGTGTATCTCAATAAGTCAACTGATAACATGTTTAGCTATCGCGTTTTTAGTTTTCATCAGAAGAATTAATGGATGTGACTGGAATGTATGGAATGAAGAGTGTTTGAGAAAAGATGGAGAAAGTTTCAAAAATTTCTACCTAGTTATTTGAGATTTTGTCGTGCATGTCAATACGACGTGGTGACATTGTAGTATATAAGTATTATTTATTTGAGTAGTTTTTTTGATCACTGAATAAAATCATTAATTTATGAGTGTTTGATTCATTTTGTGATAATTTCGGTATACACAATACTAAATAAGGAAGATTTAAGCAGATTCAATGTGTATGGTGAATCACGTTAGATATTCTCGAAATCGGGAAAGGAAAAAAGACCAAAAGATATTGTAATTAGAGCAACAAGATTAAAAATAAGATGATCAGGTGATAGTTATAGAGCCTCCACAACCATTGATGCACAGATACTCATCATATTATATTTACATATATGGTTCCTCTTGGCAGAGTACACCACATTCAATGAGAATAATCTTTCATGCATCAACAATATTATAAAGTCGTCCAACTTTTGATGAACAGTCATTGTGAGTCATGTAGACAGCAGACACTGTGAAAAAGTGATGAAGTTTTAAGAATATACAACAGGTTGCTAAAAAGTAAAGAAAGGTACAGGTCTATCACTCGACAGAATTCACAGTCTGATGAAGTCAAAAGGAAGACAAAGCCCAAAAATGACAACTGAATAGCAGGGAGGGTATATTTTGAGATCGAAAAGAAATGAAAAGATAGATAACCTGCAACACAATGAAAGATGAAATCCAAGCTTGAATTTGTTGATGGATTTTGGTCAATGACCATTTGATATTTGCCAATACATAACTATTATTATCTGAAAGAAACTAATCAGGAACGTACATAAAATACATCAGGTTATCAGAGAATGGCTGGAAAAGTCCATGAATTTGAGACACTGCATATACACCTCTAAATAACAAATGACCTGTTTGAAAAGTTGTTTTTTTGGGAATCGGAGATACTTAGTTTAAACGAGGAAATATGTTCCCAAGATCTGTACTAAACTCCAGACAATATGGAAGGGCATGTAGTTGGTGACCAAGAAAATGAATGACTTTTTATATCACATTCAACTAAATCCAACGAGCAAACCATCAATCGTACCAGTAGAAAAACTGGCTCTCTATAATGTTAATGTATTCTTCAATTGGTTTAGCCATAAACAAAGACAGTTAACTGTGACAGAGTAATTTGAAAAGGACAAGTAATGTTGCGAATAGGGCAAGTGTGACCCTGGTCATTGAGGGAAGTTGAGTATGTTATTGATTTTCAAGTCGTTACTTAAAGAGTAGATGAATGAGACTGCCGAGCATAACGTTTACCGCAAATGCTAAGGAGGTGAAGAAAATTCTATAAAATTTTGCCACACAAAATAAGGCAAGCAACAGTAATGGCAACCAATAATCTCCTTCACCAGAAAGATGAATCTAGAGATGATGCAAATCCCCTATCCTTCAATGGCGGGGTCCTATTTGCAGTGGAAGTGAAATATCCAGGTATTACCGTTGATAAAAAAATCACTTGGAAAAGGTTTTGCACAAAGACAAACTATCCCTATGGACATTTCAAAGGATCTGTGGAAAATCTTGGGGCTTGAGGCCTAAACAAATCCATTGGATGTAATGATTGTCAGACCAATGATCACTTATGGAACAATTGCCTAGTGGTTTGAAGATGGTTGACAATTTTGATTGTCAAGTTGGCGGGAATTCGGTCAAAATGTTGAAGAAAACCAATTTCTAAATTGTCGACGTTTCGAAACTTTATTGTTTCATCTTCAGGACTCTGAAGTATAAGAACAAGACATACATTTTAACATAGAAATTTACAAAGCAGTTCTGTTCAAAATGGAAATTCACAAAAAAACAACATTAAGTGTTCGAAACGTTTATTATTTTTTAACGATTGTTATATTCCATAATTTATTTTGTTTCTAACAGAACTGCTTTGTAAATTTCTATGTTAATATGTATGTCTTGTTCTTATACTTCAGAGTCCTGAAGATGAAACAATAAAGTTTCGAAACGTCGACAATTTAGAAATTGGTTTTCTTCAACATTTTGACCGAATTCCCGCCAACTTGACATACTCAAACTATACTATTTTTTGAAATGCAATTTAGATTTTCAACTAAACAATGATATATTTCTTTATTACAATACCTTTATTATGAAATTCCTCTAGAGCTTTCAATCTTATAATAGTTTGTGGAAGGAGTTTGGTTACATTCTCAGTGTTTTTTACCAGTTGATATAATTCCAAAACCTGTAATGAAAGTTTTATTAATGACAAAGCGTATTAGTAAAACAGTGTTTTTTAACCATCAGTATGTCAAGTATTTTTGTATAAACAATTCACAAGTTTTGCAAGGATTTGCTGTAAATAATATTACATAATGAAAAATCAATCAATTACTGCTTCAGTTTATTGTGATATTTTAAAATTTTTGAAGTGAAGTAAAGTGACTTTTTAGGTTGAATTTTGGTATTTGTGACAGCAATAATTTTTCCTCACTTGCATTACGTTTCAAAGAGGTTTTTATTGTGGGTACAGGATAATCCTGTTCAATATGCTGTGATTAGAATAATAATTCTATCACCTAGGATACTACGGATATAAATATAGGATCAAAACATTCTCATTGAATAAAATAAACGATCTTAGAATTTGTAAAGGCATTTCAAATTTGCAACAGAAATTATAAGTTTGGTGCAGAATACTTTTTGGTGGAACTTTTGGACAAGTTTTAACATTTCAATAAACGTTCAAGATCTATCTTCAAATATTTATCAAGATAATGATAATTTAATTGTGATAACAACAGTGTGCAGTAACATTTTTGATACTTAGAAATATCTTGAATTTCAGTTGTTGCTTGGAAATATATTTTAAAAACCCACCATTTTGTCTCTCTCATCATCCTTTTGTAATTGTTTTTTCTTTTCAGTTATAGCATCAAGTTTTTGTGAGAGTGCTCCCAATCTTCCTTCAATATGATCTAGTTTGGAAGAATCCAGTAAACTCGCAGTGGCACTCAACTGTTCAGCTATTTCTAATAGACTTCCTGTAAATTAAATTATATACAATGTCCCCTTTAAATACTTAAAACCCAACCTTTTGAAGTTGCTGAGGTCAAACGAGATAACTTATCACTGGAAGCACCAAGGACATTCTCAAGCCTATGTAATCTTGATTCCAACTCAGCTACCCTCGTTGTCTGAGTTAACCGACCATGCTCAGGTCTATAACTGAATTGATAAACAATACCATTTTCATCTGTTTTAATGTCGGATTCCATATTTTCATTTATACCGTCCTTAAATTGTTGAAGTTGAGATAAGAGTTTCCTAAAAGAGAAAAGTCATCATTTAACCAAAAGCGATGTTCAAATCTTACTTTATTTGTACACCTTGAGGATCAGATATTTTTGAAACAATAGCCTCTCCCAAACTTTCCTCCAATTTGAGGTCTGCTAGCTGTTTTAGTGATTGTTCGACTTTCTGACTAGAAATCAAGCAGTTGGGATCATCTTCATTTTTATTATTTTGAAGGTCATTAACTTCTTCAAGTAATTCTTTCATTTCACACTGAAGTCGGTGGTATTTTTGTATTGGGGTTTCCATCTCTCCATGTCCCATTAACTCCCATTCTCCACTTCTCGCGTCATATCCTGTGCGCAATTTCCTACTGATTCTTGACGAAAAATCAACATTTTCTCCATGGAGAAATTTTCCCTGGAACTTTTTGAAGGCATCATCGGTCGAAATGTGAATCCTTTCAATTGGATCTGTCTCTTCCTCATAAAAGTCTGTAGATTGTTCAGATTCTGGCAGATCACTAGTTTCATATACATCTGGTTCATCATGGGCCTAGATGAAAAATAAGATACTTTAAGGAATCTGGACAAAAACTGTACCATAAAAAATATTCTGCTGGTGTTGAAAATCGATAACTGCTACATAAGTAGACTCTTTGACATAAAGACATTTCAGTTCAGTAACCTAGGTAGGTATCTATTGCAAACACGTTTCCCTCATCAGAACCAAATTGCTCTCTCGACGCGCGTTTCGTTAACCAAATTCATCATCAGGAGATGACTAGTGTTTTCAATAAATTCATTCCACGCCAAAATTTTCAAATTCTACTCATCAAGTAGGAGAATAGGTGCAAAGTGAGTGAGTTTATTCAACCCTCCACTAAAGCTCCAGAGGGTTTACCGTGGCTTACACCTATTCAAATTCGACCAAATAAATCCGATTATTTGGTAAGCAATCTTTCAGGTCAGGTGGCAAGAGATGAACCTTGCCTGTCCGTGGTGGGACAGGCATGGAATACTAGAATTGCTACCAGGGCCTGAATTTCCTTGTGAATAATATTCCTTACCAAGGTTACTGGTGTATGGAACATTTTCTCAATATTATGAGGGCTCGATCAGCGGTCAGTCTTCGACTACCTTCGTCAGGTAGGTGAGCAACACAAATGTGTGGCTTGAGAAGTAGATCTTCTGTGACAATTTCAGAGAGACAGACTCTCATGGCTACAGGGTACTAACTGCACCCACCAGCCAGGAGACCTTCTCTTGATCCTCCGAGATAAATTGTAGCCATCCAGGCCAGAATTTGTAGCTAGGATATCATATCTGTGAATCATCTTTTGGAATATCCTCGAAGGCAGCCATAATGGCATACTGAAGATTTCAGTTGATCGGAAGACCACAAGTGGTCTTCAGCCTGATGCCTAAGAAGTAAACTTAAGCTAAATGTAGCCAAAATTGTTATGCTATAATTTCTCTCGGTAAAAATGTGGGGGAATTTAGGTATACTGCTGAAGGGAGAGAATGTAGTTATAGATTTCGATGTATTGTTGGAAAGTAGGCTTAATTAAAGATATAATTATGATGTATTAATAAGTAGAAGCCATCATTGTATGTTGGGTGTGGTCAAACAATTATCCAAAGATTATAATTATTTATATGATATTACCGTTTTGTTTATGTGTTACGTAAGATTTGTAATGGAATAAGTGCATTCTCATTTGGAATCCATATTTCGAGGTACATAAAACCAGATTAGAACATAAACAGATGTACTTTCCGAAATACATTAAGTATAGAGTGGCACAGAGAGGTCTGCAGCTCAGTATTGATGAACATTTTGGTTTGATCTAACTTAGAGGACTGTGAACAGTATTCTAATATTTTTCTATTATAAAATGTAATAACTTAATATAACCACAACTATTTTGCTATCTTTTATATCTTTTAACATCCCACATGGCCATAATATGCAATTTAATAGAATGGTTACTGCTGTAAATAATATTTCCAAATTAGAATATTATAGCATGCACTTGTGATGCACTGTTTGGACCTTTGGTGTTGTAATGAATATTACTGGAGTCTACTCCCAACACAAACCGTTATTTTTAACACCTCAACACGTGTTTCAATCACCAAGTCATCATCTTCAAGAGAATATAATTTAGTTTAATCTTCCTCCAGTAATATTCATTACAGCATGTATTTATGAATAGGTCAAGAAGCCTGATTTTGTGAATCTAGGAACAAAACTAAATGATTAGTTTTTGGCATATTCATCATCTCAATATGATATCCGAAAAGCTCACTCGTTAACAGAATCAAGAGTTGGAGAACTGAGAAACCTTTGCTCTTGATCCGATGTTACAGGAACGACAGTTTGGGTTGTTTAGTTGTTCATCTCCTCTGTACATTAAGAAATTTCTTTTGTTACTTCAGGGTACATAAAGGGTTCCACGAGTAGCTAAGGAAAGGAGGTTAATCACGGCAGAGCCCTGCATTACCGTGACAAGGCTCTCTACGGCGAGAGGGAGCCCGGTATCTTGAAGGGTGGGTGAGCTCAGAATCATATATTCTTTTGGTACAAATATACATATCATACGATAAGCTTCACCCGGATTGGGGCATTCTAACGCTGCAGAGCTAGAGTTGACAGTTTAGTGATTCAAAGATTGTGCTATTAGGAATTGACAGTTTAGTAATTCAAAGAGTACTATTGAAAATTGATTCTTCCAAATATCTGGAAAACACAGCAGCATCGTGGGCTTATTATATGTTTCCTTGCATCTTTTCATGAAATTCATTGCAACATTCTTGTTTTCTGTACCTGTTTGTATTTTGTTAGATGTTTGTTTTCTTCTAGGTATAATTGGTAATGTTCATAAATTGCCTGCCTTCTTTGGCCCAGTACCTCACAGAAGGCAGGCAACTTGCAATGTTGATACGTATTTATTAGGAATCATAAGTTAAAAGGTAAGACCTCGTTAGTCCTTAGCTCGCACAAGTTTCTCAACTTCTGAGAGTTGTCGTTCGTATGGGGTGGCAGCTGATTAACGAAAACACGGAAAAACAGAACAGATTTATGCTCAACTGATATGATAAAATTTTGCATACATGTTTAGTTTGGATGATAATCACTATCCGTTCAAGATGGCAGACTAGTTATTTCTTATGCACTCTCATGATAAGAGTATCATATGAAAGGGTTTACTGAAAACAAAAAAAAACATCATTCTAAATTCCAGATGACAAGTTACTTTTTATGTACTGTTGAAGTTTAGCATGGTTCTGATATGATACTAATTGTTAATTATAGTGATGTTCATTCATATGTATACAGATTGTCTGAATGACATGTATTTTGTAAAAACAGTTGTAATAAACAATATTATATATCACGCATTTCAATTCATAGTTAAAATATGTTATAACTCTGCAATTTAAGAAGTTATGGGTTAATAATTAGTGATGTTCATTCATATGTATACAGATTGTCTGAATGACATGTATTTTGTAAAAACAGTTGTAATAAACAATATTATATATCACGCATTTCAATTCATAGTTAAAATACGTTATAACTCTGCAATTTAAGAAGTTATGGGTTAATAATTCTAAGTATAATAGTTAGAACTGAAGTTTGTATAGTTGGAAAATAACAAGTTGAATTGTTGAAGATGTAACAAATTCAACGCAATGAAATGTCATGTCAGTTCCTCCTTCATTCGAAAAGTTGGATGATGGTTCAACCTACATCGATGGAAGTATAACATGGAAATTGATTTAATCAATTACAAGTTATGGGAATATGTCGATGGCAGCTTAGATACTTCAAGCAAGAGTGAAAGTGAAAAGAGAGCCGATGAAAAGAACAATAAAAGGGCTCTGGAGCAATAGTTTCTGGTGTAAAAACCCACATTTACACAGAAATACGAGAGTTAAAGACAGGAAAGGAAATCTAGGAATGTCTGAAGAATATTTATGAATATAATGGATTTTTTAGAGTGGCCAGTCTCATATAACATTTAGTACTCATTCGTTACTCCAAATGTTTAGGAATGGATGAATATCTTGATCAAAAGTTGCACAGCAACTCAAAGTTATAGACAATGAAATTAAGAGCGATGTGTTAGTAGCATCAATTTTTCTGAGCATTCCTGACTATCTCACACCTCTACTCATGGCACTAGAAAACTGTGGACTGAAGCTAATGACAGACTTGGTAAAAAAGAGATTACTAGCTGAAGCTGCAGAGTATGGACATAAAGAGAAAGAATAGGCCCTAGTATTTCAAAAATCAAGAAGGGAAGAGACAGCTGAAGTTCGAAAGAAAATACCATAGTTATCTCAAGTATGGGCATAAATCCAAAACATGTAGACTTACAAAGTACAATTAAGGAGCGAAGATATCTGAAACAGGATTAATTATCACAGCACTAGGAACAAAAAATTTGAGCAGAAATGAATGGATGTGGACTCTGGAGCATCGATTCATCTAACACTAACAATTTGATAAAAAATGTTTTGCATGTTGTTTATTGCTCCACGTTAAAGGCAAAAGTTCTTAGTAAAACCGTCAAATAAAAAGATAAAATGAATATGTAGTTGAGTGGAATATTCTCAGCTGTAATCTGACAAGTTGTATTTGATTCTGAGTTGAACCTCAGGTGTGATAGTGAAAATTAATTATAATTAATTCAACTTAATACCTGGTTTTTTCCTCGGGATACAAAAATAAAAACGAAAAGGCGCAAGAAAGTCCTACTGATAAGGAGAAGATAAGGAAATCGGAATATTAATTTCGTATAGTCCAGGAAATATAGGACCACAAGATATAGTCCAGTTGTTGTTATAAAAAAATGGATACAAAATTCCGTTGTGAAAAAGAACATAAAGAATTTCTGTTGTGAAACTTGCCTTAACATATATCATCCAACCTGCATGGAAAGAGATTTCAAAAATATCATAAGGTTAGGAGGAAACCAAAATTGCTGCTCTGCAGATTGTCAAAACAGATAGATTCTGATAAGAAGGAAAAACAGTTTAAAATGGCCATTACAAATCTTCAGAAAGAACTCATGGAAAAAGACAACTTTATCAAACGACTTCAAAAAATTTCACAAAGCTTTGAATGCCTGGCAGAAGTGGAAGTATCATTCATCGAAAAATTAGACAAACAAGAACAAGTTATATGTAAACTAGAAAGCGAAAATAGAAAACTGTAGGAACCAATTAAGATCCTCAAAGAAGAAAATAATGAAAAAACTGAGTCTATCAATATATCGATTGAAGAAATCAGTAAAATGAAGAAAATCAGTGAAAATATGCTGTCAACAATTAGATTAGAAGGTGTAAATGAAAGATGGAGAAATGTACACACTACAAAATAACAAGATCAGAAAAAAGAGAAACATATTGATAACAGCTACGGTAAACAGAGTCCTACAAACAAAATTTTAGAAAGTCACATTGAATGTAGAACAAATGATTTCAAAACTGTATGAACAACAAAAAAGATCCTTCGATATCATGGTGCTAAACATAAATTATTCCAATCCATCCTCTATGACGCAGAAAAGTGAGGATGATAAAAGAGCAGTGAAAGGTATATTAGCTGAAATTTACGTCAATATAAATAATTTGAAAGTTTTCAGGCTAGGAAGGTTTCAACCCAATAGGTCAAGACCACTGAAAGTTTGTTTCAGTATTAAAAAATAGACTGACAGTTAAGATACCCACTATGAAAATATTTGCAGACCAAACCAAACATCAAAGAGAATACTTTCAAAAAATCAAAAAACAGCTGAATGAATGCCTAGCCAAAGGTGAGAAAAAAATAATCAAATTCATCAACAACATCCCAACAATTACTGATCAGACACAGCCAAAAAACTAAATAAGTCAGAAAATAATCAAAAACATATCAAATATCATCAGGACATCATCTACTTGAATGCAGAAAGTTTTTTAGTCCACAAAGACAACATTATTGCCAATATTATTTGCCAGAAACCAAATGTCATAATTCCTAGCAAAGCAAGAACTACTAAGGATATGGAAGATAGACTAAATAGATGTGATAATGATAATAGGCATACTGGTGGTGTGCTTATTTATGTCAAAGATGTTATTGAATTCAAAGAAAAAAGTGTTCTTGTACTAAATGGAAATTATTGGATTAAGTTTGTTGATATCCTAATGAGTAGACAAAAATAGTTGATAGGTGGCGTCTACCACTGTCCATCTTATAGTGATGCAATTTTCCTTGATAAACTGGATGATATACTTGAAAAATACAGTGAAATGGGCAAAGTACTTTTAATTGGTGACTTCAACATTAATTTTATAAAAAAGAACCTCTTTTTCACAAAAAAGATTATCAACTCGCTAAATACATATGGATTCGAACAGGTTATAAAGCAGTGCACAAGATGTACCAATAATAGTAACACTAGTTGATTATGTACTAACTGTGATGGTATAAATGCAAATGTATTTGAATTACAAAAAATAACAGACCACTCTATAATAGCAGTTAACTGTTTTAAAAATGGCATTAATATACAAGATAATATACAAGACAAATAATTACTAGAAACATCAAACAAAACATATCATGAGATCAACTTTAAAGTTGATAAATCGGTGCTGGAATTTTGACTCTGTTGATGTTGATTCTGTCCTGCATGATATAATTGATAAAACTGAAAAGATAATCAATGAGCTTGCCCCACAACAGTCATTATTAGACCCAATCAAATACCGTATTATGATACTGAAATGAAAATTAAATCACAAGAAAGAGATAGGGCATATGAAATTTCAGATATTGTAAAACTGAAGAGAATGAATAACTGTGGTGGAAAATCACTCTCGAGAGACATCACTCCAATTTACTATAACAAAGTGGAAATCACATGTTGATGAAGGGAATTATGTAGTATCAGTCTTTCTAGATTTCAAAATGGCTTTCAAGACCATCAACAGAAATATTCTGTTGGAAAAATTGACATACTATGGAATTGGTGGCGAAGTACTGCTTTGTTTTGAAAGTTACTTGAAAATAGAAAGCAGATTACAAAAGTGAAATAATCAACTTCAACAGAATCTGTGAATGATTTCGGGGTCCCACAAGGTAGTGTACTGGGTCCACTTTTATTTATTATATATCTAAATGATATTTACTATTTAACAGGTAGATAATCGATTGATTTATTTGCAGATGACAGCTTATTATACATATCAAATAATAACTTAAATGATGCAATAGAGGAGATGCAAGATGCAATAAATGTTGAATATGTATTGAGCAATAAATTGGTCCTAAATGTAAACAAAATCAAAATGATGATAATTAGATCTAAATATAAGTTGAATAAAAAAATTTATCGTGATACAGTGAACATCAAAATAGGAAATGAATATCTTGAAATTGTTACCGAAATGAAATATCTAGGTTTCATGATTGATAGAACACTGCCACTTAATAGTCATGCTGATTATATTAAAAAAAAATCTAGAAAAAACTATTTTTTTTTCAAGAGTGGCCCCACATCTTAGTATTAACTCAAGAGTCACAATTTACAACTGTATAATTCGACCACATTTTGGCTTCTGTGCTATATTATTGTATTTCTGAATAAAAATAAGTTAGGCCAACTACAAAACAGAGGTATGCATATAATTCTGAGATGCAATCGACTTACTCCTATTGAGACTATGGTCGATTCTTTTCAGTGGTTATCAATCTCAAACAGATCTTATTATCTAAGTATGGTTTTTATATTCAAAATAATAAAGGGTATTCAACCTAGCTATTTCAATAATTTAATAAAAGTTAACAATGAAGTCTACCAATATGACACTAGAACCAATATAAGCTTCCATGTATTCAGGACAAACTCAAGGTCAGCAATGAATAGTCTGTATTTCAGAGGACTAGTTGAATTTAACAAACTGCCTGGTTCTTTGAGAAACAAAAGAAGTATTCACACTTTCAAACAAGCGTTATTGCACAATATCAAAGAAGATAATAACATTTTAATATATGCGTATGAGTGCATCTGCACCTATACTTATTAGTTTAATTTGTTTATTTATTTATTTATTGTGACAACCATATACATCTCATTCATTATTCAACTTTCATAAATCATTGATTTTATATTATTGACTTTTTAAAATAACTATATATTATTATTAATTCATTATTATCTGTTTTTTACTTACTCTCACATTATGTATATTTTTATTGAATGTTTGTAAATTGGGGTAACCTAAATGAATAAATAAATACTACTACTACAATTACAGATCATTTTGATTGGCTTCGCAACATGAAAACTGTTCAACAGCTTCAGAAGAACAATATATGATAACTGGTATTCGTGAAACATCTGTGGTTCTCAACATGAATGGAAGGAAAGTTGACAGTCCTATACGAAAAGTCAGATATGTTCCAGGACTCAAATTTAATCTTCATGCAAGCAGTTGGAAGAAAGGTATTTAAACTGTTTTTGAAAATTAAATGAGATGTGATGTGTTCAGCTAAAAGAGTAAGGGAGCTGGGCTCCAACCTGAATGAACTCAAGACAACGTGTAGGTAAATGAGATGTGAAATAATAGTACATTCTGGAAATTTTATTGCAATTGCAAAACCCAGCAATGGTAACCTGTACAAATTAGATTGCTTTCATGATTTTTCACCATGTTAAGTGCTGAAGTAAAGATATATATCGATATCTGTCTTCGTCGTCTTAGACATCTGATTCTGGAAAACATGAAAAGTTTGAAAGCTGGGATGGCAGATGGAATTACTTTTGATTCAATAAGCAACAGAAATGAGATTTGCATTGGCTGCATAAAAGAAAAGCTGCATAGAAAATAATTTTCAAAAAGTACATTGAAAATAAAAACTACCAGTGAACCAGTGAGTTGGAACTTATCCATTCGGACAATATGAAAAATATGAAAATTTGCGGAAGATTACTTAGATTTTTCTAATTCTGAAGACGAAGGCAGATTTTAGCCTCCAAAACGTTAAGATAAGTATCTGTATAATTTCTCAATTCTTTTTTTCTTATGAGCAAAATCATTAAATATGACAAGTAAATAGAATATTTTTCTTTGTGAAAAATATTTTGAATTTACAAAGTAACTCATCAGTGTGAACTAAAAAGTTTGCTCTTTCTCTATTACAATTTTTATATTTTTCAGATTGTGGAAGGTGAAAATACCCAAAGAAAGTCGATAAAAAACTGATTTCCTCCACAGTAAATAACTGGATCCCAATTGCGAGATTTTTACGTGTTTCACTATACAATAGCTTTTTCAGGCATGTAGTAAAAACACATCGGAAGGATAATTAACCGATTTAATTCAATCCAAAAATAATTTGATCAGATAATTTTTCTGAATTGATATCATATTTGTCAGCATTACCAAAGAATTTCGATTATTTTATATTTGATAGTAGTTGAGATATTCAGTTTCAAAACTTGGTTTTGTAAGTTAATATGGAATATTTCAATTATTTGCAAATAAACTTTTATTCTCCTTCTTTAACACTGAATATTTACAAAACCAATTGATTACTTACAATCCAGAACACAGGAAGCAAAATACAAGTTTGATTACAATTGATTTGGACCAATTATTTGATTATTTTGCATTTGGATTATTCAAATGCTTTTGCGCGTTTCGGGAACCAAATTGGCATTACCAGGAGATGACTAATATAGAAAGTGTTTTCAATTGACTGAAAATATGTTTTCGATAAATTGAAAATATGTTTTCAATAGACCGAAAATATGATTTCAATAGACCCTCATGAAAAATTCTCAGTTTACCAGCAAACATTTTATAGAAGGTTTATACAACACACTTCCTAGAAGAGTTCGACCATAACCAATCAACGTGAGCGTTTATGGAAACATGCTTGAAACTAAGAAAGTAATCGTTTATGGAATCATGATTGAAACTAAGAAAGTAAACTAATAACTTTTGTGTTAGGTCAAAACAAAAATGGCCATATATTGAAAATTAAGTTTTCATTATGACAACTTACAATTCCAGGTAAATCAGCATATTTTGGATCAGCCATATCGACGAAAAAGTAGTTTTAAAATTCAATGAACGATAAATTATTTAACAAATTTGGAATTTATTACAATAATAACCAATAGTTGTCACTTCTCTTTTCTCTTGATGATGATCTCTTAGAAAAATAAATGGTATATTTAACGTCATTTATCAATCATTTTGGCTTTCAGCGTTGCCAATATGCTAATTCCTTTTTTCCTTTTCAATCACTTATTGGCGTAGACAAACTAGTCATATATGCAGCAAAATTGATGAAAATCTTATACGTATATCTATTTTAGTTTTAGAAATTGACTATATTCATGTAAAAATAGTTGTACATGTTTCAGTCAGTTTTAGGCGTTTCGTGACCACAGACCATGGTCTGTGTTCGTGACTGGCTACACTGATATTTGACATATAATAATTCGAAAAGGAACTGTTAGCGCATATTCATATTCCATCTTCAGTTGAAACTACGGATGTGAAAAGTTTGGGCGTCTTGTAGGTTCTGACCAAAGAGAATTTTCGGATTAACCTCTGACGATTATTCGTTACGTAAACGTTGTCGCCCTTTAGCGGGATATGTTAATGTAATAAGTTGGATATATTATTTTTCGTTAAATGTTGACTACCAAAACGGATGGGTTTTCGTAGGAAGGGAACCTTTATCAGCTTTCAGAAATAATTTCAGGTCAACCAGAACCAAGCCATTCAAATTAAAAGTCGTTAAAATTGACTACTCAATGTTTAGGAAATCTGATATTTTAGAGCATTCAACCTCATCATTCATTTCATTATCAGGTCGTTAAGGATCGAAAATATATTATTCAGTCTGTGTACCCCATTTAGAATAACTGTCAAGAATTACTTAAAAGTATAATAAATATCGAAATTAATTTCATGATTGTTCAAAGTGTCAGCTTTAATTTTAACGACATGATAAAATTAATGAATCCGTCTGGGATAGTATACAAAGCACCTCTTATTCGAGACAGAAAATATCAAAATAACCCTTACAGTGACATCTATATATCAGTAGCAGGCTCATGAAATTAGAATATCGGGACCAGCCAGTAATTCTTGCGGACTTATTCGCTGGACATGTAGAGGACGTTAAGAGTACCAGCCTTGGAAACAATTTTAGACTTTCTGATTAGTTGGAATTTTTATGAGATTATTTGAATTACATCCCCTAACAGAGTTAAGGTGGAAAGTTTTGGAAAATAATGAACTCAGTCGTGCGCGGATCCCAGGGTCGTTTGGGGGCTCTTGCCCGGGGCAGTTGGCCTCTTCGAGGAGGTCGCTAGGGAAGCTCTTGAAGGGACTGGATCGCGAGGTGATTCCAGTATTGATAAATAATCGCGGTTTAGTTTAATTGAGGTAAAGTCAGTCGTGCGCAGACCCCTGGGTCGTTTGGGGGCACTAGATAGGGGCGGTTTACCCTTTTGGGAAGGTTGCTGGAAAAGCTATTGAAGGGACTGAGGTGCTAGGTGTTTTAAGACATTGGGTCGCGAGGGGATTCCAGTAGTGAGGAATATTCGCCGTTAATTTGGCTAGCTGACTTGAGGAAAAAAGTCAGGAGCGTAGTCAGAAGTAGGCCAATTGAATTTCCTGCAAGAGTTTTGGGAAATACTCGAATAGAGTGAAATACGGTTTCGAGAAGTGATCTCGTTATTTGGGAGTTATTCGCGGTTTATTTGGCTAGCTGACTTGAGGTAAAAAGTCGGGAGCGTACGAACTCATAAGTAGGTCGGTTGCACTTCCTACGAAGTTCTGAGTGAATTCTGGAGGTACTGAAATACGATCAGAATGTAATATTCTGATCCATATTGTATATGTTATTACATGCGTATGTGTTTTATATTTTCGAATTGGCACCTAGGGTATTGAAAATTTATCATATAGCTACGAATCGGGTGCAAATTTATCATACAGCTACGAATTATTAGGTTATAGCATTTTCCTATGTTATACAGGGAAGAGCGCCTGCTCGCCCAGTCTCTGGGCGCCTTCTCGCATGATCTAGCGTGGCTCTGTCGTGTTCCACCGTCTTTCCCACGCTACTCGTGGGATCCCTCAAGGACCATGAAGTAATCAAAAACCCAAACCTGCGTCTACAGAGATGATGGACGTCGCCTAAACTACCCCAACAATCCTCCCTGTAACATACGATCAATTAGGGCTAGAGCAGAGCCTAATGTAGGTTGATCAAACGATCCCAACTGTCTTCACTGTAATATCGGATCAAGAGCAGGAGTTCATCAGTTCTCCAACTTTTCAACAAACTAGAGGAGGAGGCTAGAGGTGGTGCAGTCATGAAGCAGAATGTGAGCGGCAGAATTTGTAGGAAAGGAAATAATTTTCCTTTGAGCAGATGATGAAAATAACTTGAGTCTACAAAGAAGGTGGAGTTTGACTGAACAACTACAAATGTCTCCACTGAAACAAAGGAACAACAGAAATACTTTTTCAATTCTTCATCTTTTGATATATAAGTTTACAGAGGAAATGAAGGTTGTCCAACTCTTCAACAAACCTAGAAGGCTAGATGGTGCAGTCAGGAAGCAACTTCTCGCCTTTTCAAGGGCAGAATATTTTATGAATCTCTCTTGCACCAAATTCTTGAGCAGTATAAGCCGAACTCGAATCAGAACAGGAAATAGTTTATCCTCGAGCAGGTCCTACAAATAACCTGAGTCAACCGAGGAGATGAACGTCGAATAAAAGACTACAACTGTTCACACTGTAACAAAGGATCTATAAAAAATGCTTATCAATTCTCTAGCTGTCAGTAGCAACTATTTCTTTCACTTTTGAAGAAGAGTTGTAACTGTTAATATACAACAAAACCCGAAAACCTACCAAAACATTAACGCCAGCCGTAAAAGCCTACATTACTAATTTTTTTGACTGATTGTCAAGTGGAAACGTAATTTCATCAATAGAGCTATTTTTTGCTTGAAAATGGCTTCAATCAGTGGATTGAATAGTCTGTTGTCGATAGAAAAGCTCCGAGGTCGTGAAAACAACAATACCTGTCAATTTTCTGTTCAGACTGCTGAAGAGGTTTGGGAAAAGTTGAAAGAGGCTTTTGAGCACTCAGGTTCAATCAAAAGGGTTGGTCTTCGAAAAAGAAATGTGGACTAATGATACACCGAATTTGAGTCATCTCCGAATATTTGAATGCGAAGCAATGATACATATTCCGAAACGCAATCCAAAAAATTATTTTTATTGGATACTGTCAGGATTCTAAGGCATATGTATCTATTATTTGTTCAAACATTGGTATAAAGTATAAAGCAGAGAAGATGTATTTATTGAAGATAGTGTTCCAGAAGAAAACCGAATTTCTATTGATAATTCGAATCATTCGTTTTAATTTTTGAAGATTCTACAACTTCCGTAGAAAACGAATTGGAATACGTTGAAGTGACGGCAAAAAGTGATAAGGCTTGTTCTATGGAAAGCTCCGAAGAATATCCGTTACCCGGCCCTTCAGCCGATATTAAAAATCAACGAACTCCAGATGCGAAATCAACGACAATGAATCAGTTTTATTATGCAAAAACCTCCCCAGTAGCCCAGGTACTTATCTATCTGCTACTTGATTACTCTAGATGCAAAATACGACTTGGACATAGAACAAGTGGATGCTGTTACTGCATTTCTACAGCGAGATCTTAATGAAGAAGTGTACATGGATCAACCTAATGAGTTTTCGTCCAACAAAAATCCTACGGAGGTCTACAAACTGAAAAAATGGATGTATGGCTTGAAACAAGCCAGCGGAGAGTGGAATAAAAAATTGGACTTAGTTTTAAGAAACGCTGAATTGGAGTAATGTGAGTTAAATATATGTAATTATTACAATACATTGAAAAGACTGATGCGATATCTTAAGGGAACAATTCACTTGAAGTTGGAATTTTCACGAAGTAGTTCCATTGATGAAAGACGTTTATATTACGGATACGTTTTCAAGATGCAAGAGAGAGCTATTTTATGGTCGACGAAGAGACAACAAACAATACCTACCTCTTTTAAAAACAGAGACGGAGTACATGGCATTCTCCACAGATACCCAGGAAGCTATTCCATTACATCAATTCATTCATAAGTTTTCGTCAAACGACAAAGTAGTCACTGTTTCATTTTGCGATAATCAAAGCGCAGTAAATTCAGCATGAACTGAAGGATACCATGGACGAAGAACAAAACATATAGATGTTCGACACCATTATATCAGAGAAATGATATCTTCAGTAGAAATTAAGGTGGATTATATCAGTACCTACCGAGGAAAATAGTGACCAATGTTTCGACGAAACCATTGAGTATCAGCAAATAACACATGGGTTTACTCTTCGAATCAAATGAATGATGTTCTAGCGGAGGTGTAGGAGAAAAGAACATCACTCTGTTTTATATTTACTACTTTGTATGTTGTGTTTAAGTATGTAGTTAGTCATATTCAGTTTCTAATTATTTTTATTGAATTATTAGAATAGCACTAAAGAAATTGCGTTCATGACTGAACAATATAATAATTTTCTGATTGATTCGGTCGTTACTTGATAAAGATCCATAGCAATTTCATAAACTACACCTCACGATTTGATCTCCATAAAATTTATCTGAAAAATTCAAATCACTGTTGATAAAACTACTGTGTTAGCGAAACATGTCGTGATATAGTTTTCAAATAAAGTTTGTGGACATCAAATCGTGAGGTGTATTTTATGAAAAAAATATATAATAATTTAACAAGATGAATGATTTACAGCCCAGTAGAAATGATTGTATCCATCTAAGCATTCTGCCTCATAGTTCTAAGTTGATATTTTTTCTAAAATTAAATCAAAAATGTAAAATGAGAGCTTTCTTTTCCGTTTTGTCATTCATAAGTCGGATGAAGATACTGGAAGTCAACCAGATTCTAAGTCGATTTTCTCCAAGCACTTTGAGTAGTTTGGTAAAAAAATCATTGTAAGTCAATAATTGTAATATATTTTATATACATATTAAGAATGAAAATAATAGTCATGTTGAAAAACCACCATTTTCATAATTTGTTAATTTGTTTTCGTTCACATTGTATATGTTTATAGGTAGTTAAGAGATTAATTTTGACATAATAAAAATGCGAGTTGAGTTGTCTAAAATAAATTCATTCATCCAAGAGTATACTTGAGAATATTTCCTCTACTTCAATATGGTAGCAGAGCGTGGTTGGTTAGCCTGAGGTTCCGGAGTATAAGAACTATTTCCAGATTATAAGAAACTGCTTAAATTTTCTTGCTGAAAATTTTTGACAATGTCAGTGTTCTGAAGCAATCATTTTATT